TTCTACACACACACACACACACTCACACACACATATATATAACTATATATAACTATATATAACTATATATATGTATATATATATATATATATATATATATATATATATATATATATATATATATATATATATATATATATATATATATATATATATATATATATACATACATACATACATACATACATACATACATACATACATACATTGGTGGTATTATTTTATACATTGCTGGTAATATTCTGTCCATTGATGGTAATATTCCATTCATAGATGGTAATATTCCATGCGTCGGTGGTATTATTCTATTACATTGGTAATTATATTCTATACGTAGATGGTAAAATTCCATATATAGATGTAATATTATATACATTGGAGGTAATATTCTATAAATAGATGGTTTTGTTCTATGAATTGGAAGAAATATTCCATACATAGATGGTAATATTTCATACATTGGAGGTAGTACTCCAGTCACAGATGGTAATATTCTATACATTAGTAGTAATAGTCTATACATTGGTGGTAATATTCTATACAGTAGATGTACACATTGCAGTGTTGTCCTATTTATAAGAGTAAGACTTAACCATAATGGTCGTAAATCTTTCTATCATGTACAATCTTACATAGAGTAACATTTTATACATAGATGGTAATATTCCATATATTGGTGATAATATTCCACACATATATGGTAATATTATATACATTGGTGATACACATTGTATTGTTATCCTATTTAAAAGAATAAAACAAAGAGCAAGATTTTCAGTCTCAATGATAATGATGGTAAATCTTTATATTATCTACAATCTTAGATTCATCTTGCAATGTTTTAATATATATATATATATATATATATATATATATATATATATATATATATATATATATATATATATATATATATCATATGTATATATATGCTTGAACTAGATTCACTCCAACGTCTTCCAAGTTTTCGATGCTCAGATACACTGAAGTCTTTCTTTTTTGTGAAGTTACCATTTCTGGATGTTATGCAGGCTTTTAAGTTTTCTCAGTTTTTCTTTCTTCACCGTCCATTTATTCTGCAACAAAGTTAACAGAAAACGTATTATTGAACACCCTCTTTCAACAACCAATAATAACAATGTCTACTGGTACCGATTGGTGATAAGGTTTATTGATATAAGACAAAACATAATGATTTTCAAAAATGTAAATATTGATTTTAAGAATCATGTTCATAAACTAAAAAGAGGTAGAAAGAGGTTATTTACGGATGGAAATGTTAACCGATTATTTACCCTTTCACAAAAAAGAAAATCAGTAGGTTATATAAATGGCGATGATGTAGTATATTAAAAAATAATGCTAATGGAATTAGACAGAAAGCCGTGTGGTCCTAATTATTGAAAAGTAAGAAAAACTCTGTAGTGACGTTGGGTGACTGACATTGTTAACTTTTTTTTTTCTTGTGGGGTTTGGTAGTAGAATGTTGGCTTTGAAAATAAAAGTAAGGTGATTTTGCAGCCTTGTTTACATCCACCAAGATAGCTCTACTTCATTCATTCAAATTAATTTGTATTCAAGAACGCAAAAAAACAGGCAATATAGCTGTAACGATTGATATTTAATCAATCATTTCAGCTAGATTGGCTGTTTATTGCGTTCTTGTATACAACTAATGTACATTTGTTTGGCTGTGTTATTCTACATCAAAGAAAATGGAAATGTTTCGGCGAAATACGAACAAATCAAGTTGTATTTAATTATCCCCTCTGTAGAAATGCCAGCCAGACTTTTCGACCGTGTATTTAATAAAATGATATATTCTTTAAGTAATTAGAAAGTCACATGAGATATTCCACGGATGATTTCTTGCTGCATTTTGTGAAGCAAAAATGAATGGCCACTCTATGTTTTGACCAAAAGTGATACTTGAATGAATTTGCTCTTATATTTGTTTATAAACCACGTATACTTTATTTCTATGCATAATTATTATACATGGATGTTTGAGAAGGTACAGTGAAAAGTGACAAAATCTGTACTAATTTTGAGATGTAAATATTTGTATGAACACTAATAGATAAATAATATTTAAGTGTAAATATTTACCTGAAAACTGATTGAGAGATAATAAAAGATAATATTTAGCTGTCAATACCTATATGAACATCCATTGACAAATAATAAAATAATTAATTCGATGTCAATGTTTTGTATGAACTCTAATATATAATCGTTTATTGATTGTGGATTTTATAGCAAGACAGTACTGTAAGACTATATAAAACCACAACAAATGTTATCACGAGGAAAAATACTCGTAAACGTTAATCATAACAGAGTGATTCAAGTACAAAAACAACGACAACATGGTGGAAATACATGAAGTTTCCTGATCAATCGAGGATAAAATGTTCTTTGTAGATTGAAAACAGATGATAAAATATCAATATGCATGATTAACAGCACGAATGTTCGTAAAAAAAATATTCAAACATTTTTAGGATGGAGACCAGTTAATTTATTAAAATAAATGTTAACTTCCTTCAAGAAATAAATTTTAAATGGAAGTCACATTTACCTTACCAAACAGTTCTTTCATCTTCTGAACATTGTTGTAACGATCACGATCGAAACGGTCGATCAGAACGTGCTTCACAGTGAAGATTCATTGTAATGGACGCGTTCAGGTTGGTCTTGACCCTTTAAGATGTATAATCTGGTTATATAAGTATTACCAATTCTAACTCTTGCAATGACTACCTCGTCCCTACGGATGGTTCTGCAGTAAGGAGGCCAGTCGCATACAGTTGGTTTTATCACGTGGAGCTTGCTATTCATATCATTATTCATCGATGCATGCCACTTACTAAAAAACGAAATTTTGATACTAGGCCGAAAGTCGGTGAATGATATATTAAGCTCAGATAGTACCATTTTATTTGAAAACATGCATAGTTTTTCAGCATTATGCGAACACCTCGAAACAAATCATTTTTATCTCTCGCCTCAAATATTTTGCGTTTAAAATTTATATTATGATGGTTAAATAAGCTATCTCGATATAAGGTTCAGGTAAGGTGAATCGTGAACTAAAATTCCTAGACAGTTTCTGGCGATAAGATGGAATTTTATTTGTTTAGTGCCTGCGTTTCAATACTAGGCCTACATCTTCATTCAAGTTAAAATAAAACCTGTCATTTTCAGGTTCGTGGAGCTGTGGAACAATAATCACTAACGTATACAAAAGTAATACAGGTTATTGAGACATCCTCGTCTTGGCTAAAGGTGTATAGAATCATATATTCAATTAGCGCACTCCAATGCCAGAAAATCCTCGTCCCGCTATTCCTCTTCATATTTCTTCTATTTTGTATAATCACTACTGAATCTACTATTTCTACTGCTGCTGTTGTCAGCACTTGGCGGTGGAGTGTCATCTCTGAATTACATTTAATATTATGAGTCCGTTGTTTTTACATAGGTACTTAATTGCCTTAACATTTGCTTTGCTGTCGTATGACGTATATGGACTTTGACAAATATCGGCTTTTTATTCTCGCGTGTATACATTTTTGGTCTGTAAACTGGTGGCACCTGCTCCTTCTTATAAGCATTCAATATGTCTTAGATCCACAATCGTAGTTTTTAATTAATTTACTCCACTTAAGCGAAACGGATACTTTATTGCAATAATCACATCAAAACGATGGATTAGGTACGTCATGGCGCGTGGACATAATAGGTAGCAATCTAGGATTTAATTTTAGATCATCAATCACTTGTCACAATGCCAGTACATCACGGGGGCACTCATTATTGCCTTTATGTATATTTGATTTAAATCAACTATAGTTTTAATCCGACATGTTAGGAATAGATTAAATATTGTCTTTTGGTGTTTAATTTGGATAAACATGCTATTCGGTAATAATGAATATTTACATATTTTAGTTATATCTTTAATATGTGCTACATGACAGACCCCGATCTATTTGACTGCAGCAGCATTTATTATTTATGCCATTGGGTATCAAGAATTCAAACTACATCATATTTTGATAACGACAGACGGGAAACACCTATATCCATTAACAAAAGAATCCTGCTGAAAAGTAAATGTAAGAAAACAAAAACTGAATTACATGTAGCACAATCTGCGTGTAATAACATCTTAGTTGACCAGTGGAATGTGATATGTATGAACACGTGTTCTTTATGTACATGCAATATTCATATTGGTTGGTAAAATACGAAGGGAACATTGAGTTAAGTCTTGAAGTTTCCGCACATGTATATAGGTAGAAAAGGCAAATTAAAATGACTGGAATAGATTAAAAGCAATGCATACAGTTAGCCCTAACATGTGTTTATACTTATAGTTTCTTATTCTTAAATACTGTACAGCATTTTCTTCCATGCAAGATTGTTGCAAAGATTAATTTATATGGAAACAATCAAAGGCGTTTTAGTTGTTAGATACTGTTCATCTGATTGTGTAAATCAATCAAAGCCAGGTTTGATATCCCCAATGTCCACAGTCAAAGTATATATTCATGTTATATGTAACAATTTATTCTGGCAGCATCTGACACTAAATGAAAGAAAATTGAACTGACCCCTTTAATCAAACAGCCATTAGAGTAATCAAAATAGGAAATAAATAAAGCAAATTGTAAGTTTGACAGAAATATTATCGTTCAGAGATCTGAACACTAGTGAACAAATGTACACAGTCAGGAAGTATATAGATGTGTGTAGGGAAGGGGGTGTTTTTTAATATAGCTTTAGCAATGTACATCGCTACGACGTGCAGTGTGGCAGTATTTAGTGATTTCTATCACTGTCTCTCACATGGGGCATTATGCCGTAGACATATAACATGATATCCATATCCACTCACATTATCCTGACATCAGTCCGACCATTTCTAACACTAATCTCTTATTGATGGGCTCATAGCAAGACACTTGTTAATACCATTTTTTAAGTCTTTAGTATGACTCGACCGGAGTTCGAACCCGCGACCTTTCGCATTTGAGGCGGACGATCTAACCACTGGGCCACCGGAGCAGTCGGATGTATATGCTAGAAAGAATTAATAGTTTAATCTTTTTTAAAGTGAATCAGCGACTTAACCCAATTGATAATTGTAACACACGGGCCGCTGTATGCTTCATGCCCGTATCCGATAGGTGAACAGATTTGGTTTACTCTGGATCATCGTGCCTTATAGAAGTATAATTTCGTCAGGAAAATTCGCCTTGATTTGAACCGCTTTGACCTGTTGAAGTCTGTAAAATTAAGCCAGATGTGTTCGCTTTGTAAAGCAAGGTTTGTATCGCAATGCCTGCTGTTTTTCAATGTGGACATTAGCTTAAAACACAAGCGACCATTTTTTACTGTTGTCATTAACGATTTCATTGCTTGATTTGACTATTCTTCGGCGGTTAAAACGGTTAAGTTATTAAATGATATGGAAAAACTTAATTTACAACAAAAATATGTATATTGTTATGTATATTCAATTTTATTATTTGTTTCTAAGTTTAACTTTTTTAAAATTCCATTACATGCCATAGTAATGTAACATTGAGCTCAGTTCTGTTTTACCTGACTGATATTTTTTTAATTTTTAATTTCACTGACATAACTATTGATAGAGACATTATATCTAGTTTCTGACCTTGTTCCAAAATTAGTGACAGCTTTAGTAAAGAATTTTCTGAAAGTAGGAATCATTAAGCTTAGTCAAGGTCATAACTGGACTACGTGACAAGTAGCCATATATCGATAGATAAAAAAAACTTATATTTTTTCGAGAAGAATGAAATTTGAACCCTCATCTGAGAATCACTTTTGAGTCTTGATTTGCGTATAAATGTTGTTTGTTTTTTTATATAGAAATTTGTAAGTTGGGCTACAAACAATTGACACGTTAAGTTGCATTATTTTGTGATCAGTTTGGGTTAAATGTTTATTTTCTTCAAATTATTGATTTCAAGTGATTGTTTTCTCTGGAAATACATAAGTGCTATGACAAAATTTTTTGATAAAGACATTTACTGGATGTTGATAATGAATTCAAAACTGGAATAACATTTTCTCTGATTCAACGAAGGACTGTTGACACGCCAGCACTTCGCTAACCACAAAAGACGTCATCGCCCTCCATTTTGGATTTCGTTGGGACTAGCGATCAGCTTCAATCAGGACTTTTTATTACTAAGACTTCTATTTTTAATTCGTGGTTTATTTATGTATTTAATTTGGAAAACCGTAAGTTCTTTTTTCTTAATGTTTCACTTTGTAAAAAGGGAAATAAATTATTTTGTTAAATTGTACAAAGTTTGATGTCTTCACTCTTTTCTGCTGCTTATTTTAAGAGCAAGACTTGCAATAGACACATGGGTGCTCGTCCTTTTTGACTAAAATATTTCAGATTTTTTTAAAATCTAAATTCTCCTGGCTTTTGAATTTGTTAAATCGCAAGTATTTTTTTCATTTAAGAAATCTTTAGTGCAATCAACATGTTTTTTTACAACGACATAAAATATGGAGATCTTTCTTTCCAATCTCTCACACACACACAAATATATATATATATATATATATATATATATATATATATATATATATATATATATATATATATATATATATATATATATATATATAGACACACACACACACACAAACTTTAAATGACCTTCATTGAAGACATGATTTGAAATTTAAGTAAAAAAAAGCAAAAGTAAAAAGAAGTGGAGGAAAAAGGAAAAGAGACAATAAGGAAGATGACGTTTTCAAGGAGTTTAGATTGGATATCAATATCTATATTTCCCAACTGTGAGTTTGACATTGGTAATCAAACACAGAAAATTGTTTTTGATTGGATGTGAAATAATTATTTTAATAAATTTGCTGACGCGTTGCCCTAAAATTCTTAAAAGACTATGGAAAAAAGAACATTTTAATTTCGATAGCTAAAACAAATAAGAGCACTTTAGTAAGACGCTACAATGATTTAATTACAACATTACAACGTGGATTAATAATAAGAATGCATATCTCATGAATTCATCATTTTCAATCAGTTCAAGCAGTATCTGTTTCGAAAATATCATCTTCGGCCAAAACCCGTTCATCAGTTGTTCCATTAGATGGTTATATTCTATACATTGGTGGTACCATTCCATACATAGATGGTAATATTCCATACATTAGAGGCAATTCTTCATGCATGGATGATAGTATTCTATATGTTGGTGGATATTTTCCATACATATGTGGTCATATTCTGTACATCGATTATTATATTCTATACATAGTTGGTAATATTTCATACATAGAGTAACATTCTATACATAGATCGTAATATTCCATACATTGGTGATAATATTCTATACATAGATTGGTAATATTTTTATACATAGAGTAACATTGTATACATTGGTGGCAATATTCTAGACATTGGTGATACACATTCTATTGTTATTTTATTTAAAAGAATAAAACAAAGAACACGAACTTCAGTTTCAATGATCGTAAATCTTTATATCATGTACAATCTTAGTTTCATCTTGCAATGTTTATATATACTTGAACTTATAAATTTACTTCAACATCTTCCAAGTTTTCGATGCTCAGCTACACTGAAGTCTCTCTTTTTTTGTGAAGCTACCTTTCCTAGATGTTCTGCATGCTTTGATAGTTCTTTCTGTTTGTTTCTTTACACCTTCCATTTATTATGCAACAAAATGAACAGAAAACGTATTATTGAACACCATCATTCAATTAAACGTTTTTTAACTTTAAATTTGTTCATATAGTGTTATCTTAATAGCTAATCATGTTCAAAGTTGAAAGAAGTAACTTTTAATTATACAATTAAATTTTGTTTTAAACAGAACGTAAACGAGAAGTCTAAAGCATGTCCAAAATGCAACAAAAGGTCGTTAAAGTGTGCGACGTAAACGGTTACTGCAAGTTTTGTATGAAAACGTCACTAATCTAAAACTTGGAATAAAAACTGACAATACCTCATTACAAACTATAAATAGCATAGCAATTATGACATCACAGAATATCGGATATTAGCAAAATCTACATTTATAATAACATTAAAATCAAAACATAAAATGAAGAACTACGATGCAAACAGTTTTTGTTCCATCAGTTAATTCTATAGAAGATGGCTAAAATGCACAAAGCCTTAAGGTGTTGGTGAAAGGAACTTATATGTAGTTCATGGTCGCCTTTATGTTGCGTTGGATGTTTGCAACCAAAAGGAGCATAAAATATGCTGTACCTAGTGAAACAATAGATGCACGGGTGTTAGCGACAACAGTTCTACAAAATTTTTAAATGCTTTCATAAAATACAACAGAGCGTGATAAAACAGATGTTTTTCGAATTTGAACTTTATTTTGATAAGATTCTTAAACATATCTTGTTTTTGTTTTAGTTTCATCTTTTTATCGATGAACTTGTTCGCCTTGCTCTTTCATTGATTTAAATATGCGGCAAACAGATAACAGTGTACCAGCAACAGTTGTTAGAGCCAGCGTTAGTGGTACAAATAAATCGCTCACATCACATCCACTACACATGCAACAGTCATTAATTTCAACGTTTTCAGTGTTTCATGTTCTGTGTTTCAACGTTCTAGTTTATGTTTGCATATTTTTAAAACAAATATTTAAAAATTTAAATTTTGTTACCTTTTGTTGGACTTAATGCAGAAAAAGTAAAACTAATTAAAATATATGAAGTAAAATATCTTATTATCAATTGGAATGAAATGTATTCAATGACAGACATCAACATTATGATGACTAACCGGTTATGACTCGTGTAGAAAATCTAGGATTAAAAAAATATTATATTTTCTTAATTTATTTTTCATACACCTTGTTACGAAGTCATGGTAGAAAATGTGAACACTTATGTTCCTGCATGTTGCATTGGCTGCACTCTCTTTTTATTCCAAATTTGTTCCTCTTCTTTATTGTTTTGTTCTCCAGAGCTCGTGGCATTGTTAACTACATTTTGTGCTCTTTTTCTACTTGTGTTTTAATTCATTTAAATAGTGTAAATTGGCAAACGTTGTCAGAGTTTAATTTGATAATAATGAATGCAATAATGATTTGTATCACCTTGAGGACACCAGTAAATCTAGTGATAAAACTTCGGATAAAAGCTTTAATCAAACGTATGCCGATAATTCATCTAAAATGGGATTTTATACTCCTCAACAGCTAACTCTAAAGATAGTTGACGAATAAAAGAATACGTTAAGAATAGTTTAAATGTAGATGATCATCAGTATACATTAATTAAGCCTCATTTACGAACCATAAGCTGAACATTGTATGATCATGAATTAATATAGAAATAAATACAAAGTTTTTAAAATAATACTCAAAATGAAATGCTAGCGCATAACTCTGCATGTAAACATAAAGTTGGAAGTGATTTTCTACATATTTGTCGATGAATAAGAGAAGGAAATATATGGAAGCCACTAAATGAGCAAATTTATTGAAAATGCAGAGATGCATGGATTTGAAACAAATAAGACAACACTTATAAAGAGATAACCAATAATAACAGCCTTAACTGAAAGATTGTATAGAACCACAAAAAATGTTATACGAAGAAACATACTCGAAAACATTAATCATAACAGAGTGATTAAAATACAAAACACAACGACAACATGGTGGAAATATATGAAGTTTCCAGATCAATAGAGGATAAAATTTCTTCATAGATTCAAAACAGATAATACAAAATATATATGCATGATTAACAGCACGAATGTTCGAGAAAATTAAAAAATAATTAGTATGCACGCCAGTTAACTTTTTTAAAATAAATGTTAACTTCCTTCAAGAAATAAGAATTTAAAAATGCATGTCACGTTTACTGTACCAAATATAGTTCCTTTATATTCTAAACACTGTTGCAACGATCACATATAGGTTAGAGATCGAAACGGTCTATCAGAACGTGCTTCACAGTGAAGGTTCATTGTAATGGACGCGTTCAGGTTGGTCTTGGCCCTTTAAGATG